GAAAAACAACAAAAACATATTAGTTCCATGGGAATTTCCTGTCATTTGGCCGTGGATATCAGTGTCACTGCAACGCAAAACGCGAGTAGGCATCTCTACAAAGCAAAACCACGCCAAGCCCGCAAAAGCGCCAACGATTGGAAAAATGGTTTGCAGGCACAGGAAACGGTTGAAAGTGCATCAGTGATATTAGATCATTAGACCAAAAAACACAAAAGCAACAGACTGCACAACACCGAATCAACGCAAAGCGAAAAACATACGCCCTCAAGCATCCCGTGCCTCGGGCGAGCTTGGAGACCCCAGCAGAAGTCGCGCTGCTTGCCGCCATTGTTGGAGTCGCCCGATCCTCCGAATTCCCTTCTCCGCTTTACGGTCCTCCCGCCCCTGCTCCGGCCGCGAAAACAGGCGCCCCGGTCTTTGCCCCCGTGACATCTTTCCAGGGTCGAAAGGGGTGTCCAATCCCAATACAGGCCCCCGAAACCCAGCCCTCATCAGCCGCCGTTTCCCCCGGTTGAAGGGGCGCAGCAGTGCCCGAACCCAGGCCACATACATGCCCTCCGTCGTCGTTGCTGCGGGAACTGCTGCTGCTGCTGCTGCTGCTGCTGCTGCTGCTGCTGAATCTATCATCCAGGTCTTCTTCCCCGCAATCGCTGGAGTCGCGCAACCCCGCCAACACGGTGCAGGGATCGAAAGGGTGTGCGGGCGCCCTCTCGCCACAGCAGCTGTAATACAAGCCGTCACAAACCTCGCCGGCGCACACCCCACCATCATCGCTGCCATCGTCGATGTCGTCGATTGTTGCTGCTCCGTAAGTAGTGCGATTGCTCACTCACATTAGCGACGGCGGCTTCCTCCGCCGCTGTCGCTCTTGGTGTTCTCGCGGCAGTAGTGCGTGCACTGACTGCCCCCCCAATCGATACACCATCGCCGGTCACCGCCGTCGCTGCTGGTGCCGTCGCCGATGCCGCCGCTTCAACCGCCAACGCCGGCGCTCCGGTCGTGCTCCCCGCCACCGCCACGAATCGAACACCGCCGCCGGAGGCCCCCGCCGGAGGCCCCCGCCGTCGCCGCTGGAGCTGCTGCCGATGCCGCCGCTCCAGCCGCCACCGCGGGCGCTCCGGCCATCCCCCCTTACCGACCCCCAAGAACACCCATCTTCCCCTGAAATCAAAGGTGCAGTGTTCGGAATACGTGGGCACCCCAACCGGCGTGATGATCTTGTGCGTCGCAGAGGAATGATCATGACTTCAGGTAGAAGTATCGCCCCCTTGCTCTGCATCTCGGATGAACGTCAGGACAAGCCGGATCCTCCTCCTGCCGTACAGCGTAAACCCCCGGGCACCGCTTGTCTTCCATGCTCACCTCCGCTGCGATGTTCAAAGAGTCGTTTATCCACGCGAAGGCCTCGGGCCAGATGGCCCAGAAGGACATCGCCTTGGCCGTGAGCGTTACTCCGGAGAAAGGCTTCGGGAACTCCAGCCACCCAGCCTTACCCTGGTGCAATCCTCCGCTCCACGCAACTCGGGCCCGTCGGCCGCCGTGAGCTTCCGTGCAATGCAAGCTCCTTCAGCAGCCCCGGAAATCCTCGTTGAACCACTCGGTGCCATTGTCGGTCAAAACACCGTCCAGCCCACGGTGAGTAGCCAAGTGTGGCTTGATGGAGGCGCGCCACGCACGAAACGCGCCCACCAGTTTAGCACCGCTCTTCTCCCGTAGGAAGAACGTCCATCCGTAGTTGGTGTGGTGGTCAAGCATCTCCATCAGGTACTGGAACCGCCACTAGATTGGCTGAACGGACCGGCTAACGTAGGTCCATGGTGACACGCCGAAGAGGCCGCGTCCTCCGGCGGAAAGGGGAGATGACCTTGGGGACCGAGCGCTGGAACGCCTTCGATTCCGCACATCCATCGCAGTATTCCGGAGTGCCGGATACCTTGGCGCCCATCTGCTTGGCGGTCTCGTATAGAGTATTAGAATTGGCATGACCGAGTGAGCAGTGGAGAACGTTGTTGTGCTGCTGCTACTGCTGCCGCCGGGCAACTCGCAGCTGGGATAGGGCACTCCATCGCTGCTGTTGTTATTGTGGTTGCTGCTGCCTAAGCCTCTCCGCCTCAGCCAGCGCCTCTTTTATTTTCTCTCGCATACTGTAGCTGCAATCTCCTAATTGCGAAACTTCATTCATGTTCCGCCGTTCTCTCTTCTAATAGTTTCTTCTTCAAAAATATCGGGTACCCTAAGGCCCCAGCCCTGAAGCACTGTCCCAGCTATACACCCTCAGCTGTCCTGGTCCCCGATGGCGACCGTCCCAGCTACATACCCACCGCTGTGCTTTCCCGTCCCCGTTGGCCACGTCCTAGCTTCGCTGTAGAAATCGTGTTCGTCGCCCCATTGGCCCGAGTCCCATGGCTCAGACGCCAATACCCCGCTGCCAACACCAGGCCTACTACTGTAATATGTTGTGTTTGGGTGCGGCAGCTTCGTCAGAGGCCGAAGAAAAATATGGTGAACTCAAGACCCTTTTGAATAGAGAAGTGAGAGATGTATGGGCAAGGAAAAAGCTCCCCGGGCATCATATCCATCATTCACACATCATCCACGTAACCCTGCTACGGGATTTGAGTGCAAGGGTCTGAACAGCAGTATTGTAGTTCTATTATAGGCCAGATATTTAGATCTGGCGGGAACTGCAACTCCCTAGGATTGCTGTTTAACCCCTTTAGGGCTGGATCGCCTTTTTTGGGGAACACTTTTCGTCCCCATCTTCTTCACCTGCTTTACCTCGCGAAGAATGGCATGATTGTCTCCTCCTTTGCACTACTCGACCAGGGGGGTGCCAGGGTACACAGGGACGACTCAAGTCTAGTATGGATGCTTTGTAGAGTGGAGGAGTGAGGGTAATGAACAGGTCGAATCGCGGGGCGATTACGCCGCGGGTTCAACAGCGAAGTTGCGCCGCGGAAGAAGTACCTAGCCCACCATTGATAGGAGGCACCGAGCAACCTAGGGCTTGCGTTAGAAGGTCTCGCTTTCCCTCTAGAGAAATATATCTTCATAACCTCCTTTTCGTGCCCCGTTTACCACGCTCCCGCCAGTTGCTGTCTATAATCCCTATCAAATATCTCCTCGGTAAAGACAAGAGGCGGCTCAAGTGGGAAGGCAGCTTTGCACTTGCACCCAGGGATGGAACTGTCTGCATCATCCAATCAGCAGGCGTCGTTCGCTCTTTTTCTTACATTGCAGAAATTTCGCAAGAACGCCGAACTTTCTGTGCGTGGTAAGGGGGTTAACAGTGGATATTGCCATAGCGGCCCCTTTTCCTGCACAATCTCCCACACTACATTGGCAGTTTTGCTAAGCCCATGAAGTGCCCATGAAGTGCCCACCGTGGGCACTTCAACCTAGAACTTCACCACCGGCATATCAACCTAGAACTTAGCCACCCAGCGCCAACCGAGCACATAACGTGTTGTTGTGCAAACAAAAAAAGTTCCGTTCCCTCTGCCCGTTTGAAAGCAGCTGCATAATCTATTGTTTAGGAGTACACTGGTTCCGGTTAAGGGCACCCATTAGCCGCCCATGGGCTCCCCACGGGCTACCCATGGGCTCGCCCATGGGCATGCCCAAGAGCATGCCCATGGGCAGCCCATGAAACTACGTGGTGCCCATGGGCGGTTTGGCTAAAATGTAGGAAGTGTGGGAGACCCTTCCTGCAAGGAGCGGTCCGCGCCCCCTTCTGCAAGGAGTGAGACCACTTCTTATACTAGGTCTGTAGTTCCTGAGATTTGGGTTCGTAGTGAGGCCGGCAGGACATTCCAACCTTCTTCTATTATTCGCCGAAAAACTGGGATTTCAAATCGCAGATACCCCGGAATCGCATTGCCAGTTGTGAAAGAAAAACAAGAGAACAAGAACTCGAGAACTACATCCAGAGCAAGCTTGTGACTATGAATACTAGATAGACTACAAGTATTCAGGGATTGCTATACGCGTGTGAACCTCGCAATAACCGCGAGAGGCCCCGAACAACAGTGCTCTGTCGAGCACCCCAAACAATGTCATGCGTATATACACTATACAAAATATGTGAAAAAAAACTACTCAACCCCCTCCGTCCACTCCACACATCACAAGGTTGACTCGGTACGTCCAAGCGCTTGACTACTATTCTGTTGTGGAGGAACAAGAAACCAATAATAGGGAAGGGAGCAACGTCCGGTCTCCTACTGTAGCTTGGTACTCACAGTTATTTGTTGTTTGATCTCTTGTTGTGGGCTGCTTAGCTTAGACCAGGGCCGCTCAGCGCTCACCCGGAAAGTGCGGGAGCGGGGCTTATATTATTATGCAGACGTCTCCAATACCCCACAACGACGCCAAATAGCCGTACCCAACGAAAATTCAACGCATCCATTGTTGTATGCAACATGCAGTCCCACATCCACCACGACTCCGTCGGACCTATTTTCGTGGTCTCCAAAGTGCCGCAGGTGCCCCGTTCTTTGCGTTCGGTGCAGTCAGAACTCAGTCGAACAACGGGGGGCATCAACAACAATGACGACACGTCACACGAGACGCACACCCCCTCACCAACCAACCTACCTTTTTGTTGAGCGCAGCCACCTCAGCAACTCTCGGTGGTGAGTGTTGGGGTTGGTGCTAGCTACTGCTGTGATTAGAGTGTTGGCTGCTGTATGTTCACCACCCTTCATGAGGGGAAGAGGTTTCACGCCGGTTTTTCGTGTCCAGGTGTATATACAGCCGGTCGCCCCGGTGGTCTAGTTGGTATCCTCGAAACCTTCTAGAGGTCAGGTGAGGGGTTCGAATCCCGGCGTGAGCGAGCTTTTCTTGCAAAGTGAGTTTTTCTCTCGCTTCCGCTCCTGGCCTAGTGGATAGCGCTAGTTCGTGTGTACAGAGAGACAGCGAGGGAAGAGAGTGCTGAACTCTTCTCGCCTTAAAAAATCGAAGGCAAAGTACCGCAGAAGGGGAGGGGTAGTGAGGGGCTCCTCTGTGTGACCACGGGTTGGAGTAAACGGCACTAGTGCTGTGAGCGCTGATTTGAAGTGAAGCCAAAAAAATAAATAAAATGCATACGAAAGTTACGAAAGTGACAGCAGTAGTAGATCTATTGTACTTCTGTAGTGTGCAGTTCGGGATATTTCCCACTGCAGCCGGAGATCGAGTACTAACTGTCTCCCTTTCCTTTCGCCTCTCTTCGGTATATTATGCGGAGCGGCCAGCGTGTGTAGGCTACAAGGTTAAGCTTGCTCGAGTGCTGCCCACCAAACAAGAAGTCCAGTACAGGAAAGCTCAATTGAAGCTCGACTCCGGCGGCGACTGCAGTCAAATTATAATTATTCAAGTCCCTCCGTCGTGGATATCTCGCTTGGGCTGACATTGCAGACGTGATGCTCAGACAACGGAGTGCTGCCGGTGAGAATCTACCGAACTCCAGCTGCCCAAGCCACAGAGAGGAGAGCATGCTTGCTGGCCACGTCGATGTTGGCGCAGACACTGCCGGCAACGCCGTCAAACGCCGCCTGATGTTCGGGGCTTTGAACAGGTGAGTGTGTGTGTGATGTGAACCTGCGGTACTTGTACTACTGAAGTGCAACACCCCGTCTGCATGCAAGCAAATCCGCGTCCTTTGCGTCATATCTTGTACAACACTAACTGCTGCTGTGCTATTTATTGGGTGCTTGGCGCATCAACCCGTATCTCCACCCATGGAATAGTCTGCCGATTGATGTCTGACGCATGTATTTTGTATTTTGCGCCCCATTCACGTGTGGCCAACGGCAAGAGACTGTATTTTTCGCAAACACTGTATTTTTCGCAAACGCGTGGACGCCGTAATGAAAAATAAATACACACACACAAAGACTACAACCCGTTCGAGAAATACCCACATTCGAACGGGATGTGGGGGAGCCTTTTCAGTGAGTGGAGGAAACCGGCTGGGTATTGGACATATTTCGAGTCTATGTAAGTCTATGCACTGATGATGCAGCTGATCTGCAGGATAGAAGGTAGCAGTGTACAGTAGTCCGGTGGATCCCATCGAAGGGCCAAATAACTACTGCTGTATCAACTGTATCGACTGTATGTAAATGTTAGTAGGAAACAACAAAAGCAGTCACCGCTGATCAGATATGTACGAGGACGCACGAAATCGGCGGGAGATCCTGAACAAGACAACAGGTGTATCGAGCCACAGCCAGCACGGAGTTTTCACTTTAGACCCTATTGTCTTATGGCAAGCGAGGGTGCTCGACTTCGCCATACAGTAATAACACAGAAAGCTAGGCTGAGCCTAATTTCCATTACAGAACGGGGCCGTTGATCAAATCATCAAAATCTGGTCGAGCCAAAGTCCTTATTTTGGGTCGAAGGAACATCGGCAGCCATACTTCGCCATTTTTTATCAGTGTCTCACCGAAAGACAGGGCCGGGGCCTGGGGGTTCATCTCTCCGTCCTCTCCGGCCCTCACTCCTATAAAGGAATCCAAACGCCTCCGTGAGTAGGAAAACCAGGCTGACCATATCCCGCTGGTCGCCGAGCTTGGATAGAAGACCTCCCCATCACGAAGACTAGTTCCTCTTGCTACCTTCGATCCCTCCTCACGCTGTCTTCCCCCATTCTGTCCCTTGCACCGGTTGTCTTTCGAAACTCCCTTCCCCTTCTTCCAACGCCGCCATTACCCAACTGGGTCTCACATAATCATTCGCCCTCACGAATGCCATAGAATGCGTTCGATGACCACGACCCTTGCCTCTTTAAGGTCTCCGGTACCCTTTTTGCGGCCAATCTCATCCACCCGCCTATCCTCCCAGAGTGATATGCGAACACTTCCGACTTGAGCTTGCCCCTGCCCCTCTCCCTTCCTCCGACCACGTCTTTGCAACCGTTCCTCTCCCATTTCTATGTTATTCTGTCACCCTTCCCCTCTGCCAAATCCATTTTCCCTTGTGCAACTCCACGGTGCCGTTGTTGCACCCAGTCCCTCGATTCCATATATCCCAAGAAGCTTCAGCATCAGTTCCACCTCTCCCTTCACCCTTTCTGTGTCCCTCACATCACCACTCCTTTCCTCCCTTGATCCCCCCTTCGGCCCTCTCATGTGCGCGTCTATCTTTTCTGTCATAAGCCTCTCCCGTCCAGGCAGCTAGTCCAATCCACAGCACCCTCCCCCCCGCCCCCTCCCTGCCATCACTCTGCTGCATGGTACTCAGCGTTCTTCAGGTCAAGGGTCTCGTCACTCTTGCTTGAGTACCGTTCTCCACGTGTACCCTCTGAATATCTTTCTATACACCTTTGATGTACTGATTACTCAACGGTGATGACATGTTCTGGGACCGTGGTTGTAGCGCCACCACTGCCGTTCCCGCGGTACATGTTCCCTCCCCCACTGCTGCCCCTCGCCACCCCTTCCGTCTCCCCCCCCCCGCCGAAAGTCGTCGCCAACGACGCCAAGGACAGCAGGCCGAACGTATCGGCATATTCCGGGTGCGGGATGCCGCCCAACGCCATTCCCCCCGGGATTCCCCCACCCCCCTCCTTCGCTTGCTCCGCCAGCGCGCTCGCGGTTATTGTAGGCTGGTTGAAACGCTGCGCTGTCCATCCTTCCCGCCTGGCCTGCTGTGTCCTCGTCGCGCTGCCCCACCTCTTGCCAGGCCTGCCCGGTGTTACCTGCCCCGTCCGCGCCGATCCCGGCGCCTCCCGCGCTTGCAGCCGCGCCCCCCGCCTTCAAATCATACCAACTCACCGTGCTGGCGGGAATCATGTTTTGGGCGTGTGGGGTTGAAAGTTGCTGCGCGCTTTGTGGGTCGGGGGGGGGGGGGCTGACGAAACACGGGGACTGGGTGCGGTAATTAGCTACTAAAAGGGGAAACGCACGCGTCTGCCTAAACTCCGCGTGGGACGATCTTCTCCCTTAATATTCGGCGCAAGGTCACCGCGTATCGACCCTCAACGTGCCCGTCCCTTCAACCCAGCTTCCCCTCCTCTCACCCTGGCTCGACGACCTCCTCTCACCTCCACCCTGCCGCAGCGAACCCCGGTTTCCCCCCCACTGGCGCCCCCGCCTGCCGCCTCTCTCCTGTTCCTCTGTGTCGCTGCGCCACATCTGTGTCAACATGCCCAGCCGTACGGCATTCGGCATCGGACGCCACGTGCCGCAGGGTCCGATGGACGCTGCTGCTCTGCTCTGCTCTCCTCGTTCGCTCTAGACTCGAAAAAAGAACAGGCGACGCTCTTGTTCTCCCTCTCTGTCTGTCTCCTCCTCTCCGTATTCTCGCTTCCTTCATACTCCTCCTTCTTCTGGCCCTTCTCTACTCCTCCGGGTTTGCTTGGCTTGCTCCTTTGCGTTCGGATCCTTCTGCTGTGGGCAAGAGTCCATCTCCTTTTAACTTTTTCTCGTTCCTTAATCGTTTTATATATTTCCGCTTTACTTACCTATCTTTTTCCTCGGTGATTGACCTGTTTTGATACTTCTGACCGTTTTGACAAACCACCAGGTTACACAACACAACCTTAACACAACCTTGTACGTTTCTTAATGGGTTTCTTATTTGTTTGCGGCTGTCGC